TAATATGTATAATGGTAAGTCCAGACATATTCGTCGAAGACATAATACCATTAGACAACTACTCTCAACTGGTACTATATCTATTGACTATGTGAAGTCAAAAGATAATCTTGCGGATCCGCTAACCAAAGTGTTAAATAGAGAGTTAGTTGCTAAATCTTTGAGAGGAATGGGACTTAAGCCTCTAGAAATGAGTTGATACAATGGAAACCCTACCTTGTTAACTGGAGATCCCAAGATCTTGGTTCAAAGGGACAACCTAATTGTTAAAAGACTCTTGTGATCACTGGGATTTTATCCATTGTCCATTCCTTAAACAGTGATACCCGTTGTGAGTAAGGATAAGCATTTGGCTTTTAATGATTCTTGTATGGGAAGGTAGTACGGGCTACTTGTAATTAAGAATCACCTATGTGAGAGAGAAGTGGGGCCGCTTTGAAGAGAATTGTGTGAGGCTCAATTCTTAGACCCTCTCACAGAACCAGGCTATTTCCAAGGCCACTAATGGGCATAATAATGAGAACTGGAATATGTTAGGGAGAATCCTGTGTGAAGTATATTTATCGTTTACACAAAAGGCAGAACAGTTCAAAGACAACGCGTCTACTGGTCAGCTAGTAAAGTTAATGTGCTTTCACAAGGGAAGGTTCAAAGGGTAACACCTACCTATCCTATGCAGGTTTCAACTGTTGGACCATAACATTATTTTTCAATTTCATTCAGGTGGGGGATTGTTGTAAAATTGTGAATGAATTTTTAACTGAAGAAGTGTTTTGAAACGTGTCTTCCACTTTTAAGACAAAAGTTAAAACTTGGTTTCATTAATTTGAAACTGTGTTTCTTCATTTTTGATAAACTTGTAACTTGGTTACATTTAAATTAACTTCATTAAGTTTGTAATAAATAGTTTCATTAATGAAGTGACTTGGCTTATGACTATATAAGACTTGTCACATTGTGAAAAAAAAGAGACACGAAACAAAATACAATTTTTTCAAAGTCTTGTTCCCTCATTTTTTTCTTTAAGTGTTTTGGTCTAGGCATAATTCCAGTTCGCCGGATTAGTTTCGGTTTTTCCGTTGTATCTTGGGAAACAGATGCTCATACAGGGCGAATCTGTTTTAAGGACACTGTGTTCTCACAGGCCTCGGTGTTATATATTTAAGCCATCTTATTTTCATTTTCCCGTTAAAATTCCCTACAGATGGGAGTCGAGCCACCAGAGGCAGATCTCCGTTGACATTCCGGGCTCACGACCCGTGTGCTGCCCGATTACGCCGGGCGATGTCATTCCTCGGGGAATAAGTGGGTCGATGCTCCAGACAGGGTGATTGGTGTATCTTTTGAGGATGTCTAGCCCCAACGGCTCCATCTCCTCAGCCGTGTTGCAGAGCCACACGAAGGAGTCGAGGGAGGATCCGAGCTGCGGCTGGAAGAATCTGGACCAGGGATCTGTGCCGTTGGTGGCCCTCATGAAGCGGTGGAGATGAGTGACGTGGAAATTGCAGGAATTCGGGAAGCCGGGCAGATTGAAGTAGGGGTCAATTTCCGTGTCCTTGTGTTTGTGCGGAAGGTGCTGCCACAAGGAGACGTAGGCGGCCGTGTCGTAGGTGCCGCAGGTGGTGAATGTGACGTTGACGGTGCAGCAGGAGGCGGCAACGGCGTTTGCCCAGCCCGTGAAAATGTCGGAGATTATGCAGAGCGGTGGTTTGCCGTCGGAGGAGGAGATTTGTTGGACAAGGGCTCGGAATGGGGTTTCGAGGGAGGTGGAGGAGTGGAAGAGGTTGACGATGAGGTGGAGGGGAAGGGATTCGGTGTTCTCGGTGTTCGGAGGGAGGCCGTGGCGGGGCGCGTCGAACTCGAGCTCGGAGATGTGGATGTGACTGGGGCCGGCGGCGTGGGTGGCCACGGCAGCGCGGAGGTAGCGGGCGTTGAGTGGGGTAGTGGCGATGGTGACGGTGAAGCCGAAAGTGGTGTGGATTCGGTTGGCTAGTGCGAGGAAAGGGATGAGATGGCCTTGCGCCATGAATGGTAGCATCACTATGTGCTCTCTTGTGCAGCTTTCCATTTTTTTTTTTTTTTTT